GTCTGCGTTCCTTTTTATTTAAAATGTTTTTCGGTTAATGTCGTATGGACCTAGGCCTAGGTCCTGACCATATGTTTTCCTTTTTGTAATATTAAGAATTGTACGACATCTGTTTATACATTCGTTGTTTTCTTTCTTTCTTTCTTTCTTTCTTTATATTTCTTTGATTAAATATTTTTCTGTTATTTTGTTATGCATAATTTTATTTTTTGTTGGAAATTATCTTAATATATCCTTTTTTATTTTTGAATGTCTTAGATACTCTTTTAGATTTTTATGCCTGCTGTATGCAATAATCGGAGGTTTCGGAAATAATATTTTTGCTTTTCTGTTTTGTTTCATATAACTCTGTCGATTCCTTTAAATACCAGATTAAATCTTGTTGCAAAAAACGAGTGGTGGAGCCTTTTTTGTTTTTTTTTTAATAAGATTTAAAAAAATTTGTTCTTTCTTTTTCTCTTGTTTTTGTTATAATATTGTCGACCTCATTTTTGCAATGTTCTCTTTCAAGAAGTTTAGACTTAAAAAGTTGATCTTCTTTATAGAGGTCTTTTCAGTTGTTGCAAGACCTAGTTAGGCGAATAATTTCTCCAGTTATGAAGCCTGTGAATACTGACGTAGGGTGGGCTGATGTTCGTTCAAGATATTGAAAGTTATCAGTGGGTTTTCTATATATTTTAATGTATAAAATTAGATTTTTTTTCAAATCTTTCACCTTTGAAGATAGTTATGTAAAAAAACTTGAAAATTACCCCATCCAACTCATTTTTGGAGGACAGAAGACAGGCGCGTTGCTACGTTTACGTCAAAACGCCCGGGTGTGCACATCAATTTCGGAGGGGAAAATATTTTGATCCAAATAAATTAAAGGAATTGTTTAAAGCACACGAGCAATTGTAATGCTTTCTTTGATGACTCGTAAATGAAGATACCAGTGACGAAATTTATTTTTTAATCAAATGGTATCGTATTATATATTTGTTCATTTTCTGTCAAACTTTGAATCTACTGTGAATTGTCTACTCAGATTAGTATTGTTTAAAGCAATTTAGTATCTGCTTGGATACAATATGTGTGGCTTGCATTTTTATTTTACACCTGACCATCTATGAAAATTAATTATTGCATGCGTCCATTAACGAAATTTTCCGGTAAAAAGGTGTGAAAATTATAGGATGTTAAAACAATCAATAGAACTTGCTTTTTAAACTATTTTCATAAAGTTTTGATTTTTTTTTGTCGATTGATTGGTTTACCCAACATCTCCTTTTTAAACATATTCTAAAGTAACTGATTTGGACATTTTTCTCTAAAACAAAGGACGATTAGATTCCAAATCAACACAAGGAAATCAACTTGAAAAAAACCTAAAACAAACTTTAAAAGAGAGGCAAAAAATACCAGTATTCAAACTCATAGGTTGAAAACAAAAAGACGAAACATGACGAAAAGACAAACAACAGTACATAAAAGACAACATAGAATACTAAAGACTAAGCGATTCAAACCCCGCCTTAAATCGGGCTGATCTCAGGTGCTCCAGAAGGGTAAGCATATCCTGTTCCACATGTGTCGTATTGCAAATGTATGTAAAAACTCGGTGATAAGTCCATTTCGGTAGGTCGAGATCGAAGAAAAGAGGACGGAATTGTGGTTACAACAATGAACCATGCCCGTCGTCATCTGTGAGACAGTCAACCAACTTAAAATTTTCGAAGAAATGCTTTCAACTTCTCCACTTGAAACTCTTAGTTTGACAGCTTCCTTGTAAGTAGCGACCTCATTCAAGGAAGTCATAATGGGAAATGCACGTTCTGAAATATCGTATCAACAGGAAGATATATATTCCATATGCAGGTTCTACTGATCTATTGCTACATAGAAATAGAAAGTTCACAACCGGTAAGCTGAAATCATCTCTTATGTAGTCAAGATTTGTTCTCAACCAACCAAGTATGTTGTTATTGATGAATTTTGAATGACAGAAATGGTATCATTTTCACAATAACGCGTGAGCGTCCGGTGTTTTCGCCCCCTACCCGGAGGTCCTCTGCCCTGGGGCTACTAAGGGCCTTCGGACCCCTCGCCGATGTTCGGGCATACAATTATAAAAGGCCTTGCTACGCCACTAGGAATTTGATATTTGAAACTACACATTATGACTTTTAGTATCCCCATACGTAAAAATCAAATTCGAACAATTCTTAATATTACAAAAAGGAAAACATATGGCCAGGATACCTCATGAGGATAGACCTAGGTCATTACGACCTTAACAGAAACACCTTTTATATAATCAGGAACATATAATCAGCTCTGTGATTCTTTTCTTAGAATAAACACACTATTTAATGTTTAAGTACGTATGAATTTCTTTAAAAGTACACAAATAAATGCTGAAAAAAGTATTCCATAATAAAAAAAATTATTATCATACATTGAGGAAATCAATTTTAATATAGTATCCCCAAGTAAAACATCAAATTCGAACAATTCTTAATATTTCTTAAAATTATTATCATATATTGAGTAAATCAATTCTAGATAACTCTAGATACATGTACATAGAAAATGGAATTCATTATAAAGGATTATAATAAGATATATTGGATTGGTTCTTGATCCGACTGATTTTAATACATAATTTTGAAAATAAATAATCAGTCCCTTGTTTTACTGAAAATGAAAAAAATCATGCTTCAACAGTGCAGAAAATAAATAATCTGTCCTTATAGTTTACAAAAATAAAAAAAAAACATCCAAAACAAATTCTCCTTGCCCCCACCAAAATATCAAATGGTCGTCCCATTAGCAAAGAGTTAATTATAAAAATGTTTACGATTATCTAAAAGCACATGACTGTAAATAAAGGTAACAAAAGTTTTCCGATGTTTTAAATCTCAGAAATTGATTAAGAAGACAAATGAAGGTAAGTCGACAAACTAAGCGTCTCCTGACATGCATGGCTATCCCTAAAGTCAAAAATCAAATCTACACTCAGTCAGACATGCACAACAAGCAAACGTACAGGTAAGACGACTATTCTGATCAGCCGATCTTCCTCATAACTCTGTTGGATTAGTGTTTGAGAAAGGGGGTGACTTTACTATCATTCGCCATGTCATATCTCGCACATAGGGTTACGATCTCTTAATCTTACATTATCAACACAAAAGGTGTCATTTATGTGTTTGACTGTTTCGTGGTTTTTTACTTTTTTCTTTCCAGCTTTTGTCAGTTTGTCCTCTGTCTATCTTTCTTAATGAGCTATTTTTGAATCGCTTGTTTTCCCAAGATTGTGTTATATAGAATTTCAATATGGCATTCTTCAAACGATTTTTGATCACACCCGTGGTAAAATATGAATATATTGATATGTCAGTTGATCGTCAGCGTCCTGGATTGTTTCAATCCATATATTCAAGCCCCCATGAATAAATTTCTTATTGTTTTATAACACATTCTTAAATAGTGAATAATGAACAAGAAGGGTTCTTGTAATATTTGTTTTTTTATGTTCAATTTTGATTGCATACTTGAATGTTGTCACGTAAAGAGTCATTGGTGACAAAGTGGCGAAATTTGTTTATATGCAGTTATCACTACCATATCATATCCAGGGATGTGAAATTTTCTTTCCAAAGGTCTTTTTTTTAGATATAGGAAGATGTGGTATGAGTGCAATGAGACAACTCTCCATCCAAGTTACAATTTATAAAAGTAAACCATTATAGGTCAAGGTACGGCCTTCAACACGGAGCATTGTCTCACAAAGAACAGCAAGCTATAAAGGGCCCCAGAAAATTACTAGTGTAAAACACTACTTTATTCAACAATTGATAACAAGTGTCTGCAACGATGAAACTATGGACGCAGCCAATTGAGTATCACGCCATCCAACACACTGTCTGCTATTTCATAAAAGAATGAAATAAATTGTATACATTCAAATAAAATTAGAATGACAACAACAAACATATTTCATGTAATCAAAAGGAAATATTATGCAGTCAAATCTAAAAAAAACAAAAAAAGAAAGCAGACAAACGATTATTCAAAATAACTGCAAAAGATGCATATCAAAATAAATAGTTGCTAGGGAGACATTTACTTCCCTGTGGTAATGATACACAAAAAAAACAACAAATATTTACTCAATACGGTTTTACACTGATTGACCTTGGACGTCATTAGGGTTCTGTAATCGTTTTGAAATCTTTCTTTCTTGATTCAAACAAAACAAATACAAAACGAAAATGTAAACGGAAGTATTACGATGATTTTTTTTCTATGAAAAGCAATAAATCTTCCACCAATGCGGAAGACTCATTAAGGTTGCACATTTTCAAAGTTTTATATAAAGTTTACGATAACAAATCATGTCCTTGCTTAACATGTTATTTTCGTATTGTTTGTTCAATCGTTCATTAATTTAGTGTCTTTTTTAGAACATAAGATTAAACAGAAAAAAGACTACTTTTGATGATTTAGTTAGTTTAAATATTTAATTCGTATCAAGCTCCAGGAACTAGCAAGATCACGAGAAACGATTAACGGCAAATTTTAAAGGATAAACTGTTACTGTAATGTGAATGTTAAACCTGCATTCTTCCAGACCGATCAATATTTATTTAGGTGTTAGTTCTCAAGGGAAAAAAGTATAAGAACAATAACCAAACTCCAAGTATATCTCAAAACGAGGAAGTCAGTAACAGTGAAAATACAAACGTTGAACTTTATCAACCAACGGAACGAATGGTAACAGTCTGCAAGAAGACAGATACCCTACATGACGTATTATACTGACTTATATCCGACTATGTTTTGCTCTTATTCTTTAACGCTCAACGTAGAAGCACAATAATGAATTTTAAAGAATTTGTTTTGATCCGGTTTGAATTAAAACCCACGACCTCCCGTTCTAGAGGCTTACAATAAATCACAAAGACACCGCGCCAGTCAGGTATATTTACTCATCTAATATATTTCAGTAGCATGTATCGGACACCACAAGGACACCGCGCTAGTCAGGTTTATTTACTCATCTAATTCATTACAGTAACATGTATCGGACACCACAAGGACACCGCGCTAGTCAAGTTTATTTACTCATCTAATTCATTACAGTAACATGTATCGGACACGACAAGGACACCGCGCTAGTCAAGTTTATTTACTCATCTAATTCATTTCAGTAGCATGTATCGGACACCACAAGGACACCGCGCTAGTCAGGTTTATTTACTCATCTAATTCATTACAGTAACATGTATCGGACACCACAATGACACCGCGCTAGTCAAGTTTATTTACAGTAGCATGTATCGGACATCACAAGGACACCGCGCTAGTCAAGTTTATTTACTCATCTAATTCATTACAGTAACATGTATCGGACACCACAAAGACACCGCGCTAGTCAGGTTTATTTACTCATCTAATTCATTACAGTAACATGTATCGGACACCACAATGACACCGCGCTAGTCAGGTTTATTTACTCATCTAATTCATTACAGTAACATGTATCGGACACCACAATGACACCGCGCTAGTCAAGTTTATTTACTCATCTAATTCATTACAGTAACATGTATCGGACATTTGTGTTTTTATGTAATTTGATTAATATACAGATCATGTGTCCAAGCTTTGCTAACAAGGATTTAAAAACGCTCCTTTCTACTCTCCGTTTTAAAAATCTTTCATGATTCTACGGTTTTGTCGGATAAATACACACCTTCAAAAATTTGAAGGCTGAAATTTCATTGGCTGATGTAAACATTACCTGGACAAAAACTAAAACGGAGCGTTATCAGATCCTTGTCAGTAAAGCTTGAAAACAGGATTTGTTTTTGTTCCGATTTGGTGAGGTGGACAATTTTGCAACTTTAATATTCCTTAAGTGTGTTCGCTGAAACCATAATTTCCTCAATCCGTAGACTAAAACATCACAAAACGATGTAAACACAAAGTAAAGCTTCAAACAGGAATAACGTTAAGGTCTGCTAAGATATAGCTACAGTGAAGGGAGTACATGCGATAACACGTTTAATGTCACTTTTATAACAAACCAAATGTTATCACATTCATGTAAAGGGATATTAAAGCACGAAAGTATTATTTTTTTGTTAATTAACGTCGTATTGAAAAGCGTAGTAAAACATAATATTGTTTGACCATGTATTAGTCAGACAATGCTGTTTTAAGGTTGTCCTTGTCAAATAAGACACCTTGTGCATGTGTTATGGTGTCAGGATCCCCTAAAAATACCTCCCACCGATCTGTATGTCACTCAATCAATCCTGGTACACTTTAAGAGGGGCGAAAGATACCAGAAGGACATTCAAACTCATAAATCGAAAATAAACTGACAACTCCATGGCTAGAAAAGAAAAAGACAAACAGACAAACAAAAATACACAAAACACAACATATAAAACTATTCAAAGACTAAGCAACACGAACCCCACCAAAAAACTGGGTCACATAATTCCGTCGGTTCGATGTCCCTTATAGCAGATTGAAATAACGGCAAATCAGAAATAACCTTTTAACGTTTTTCTTTATTATTGTAAAAATGCTATTAAACAGTTTATACAAGGGTAGCGATAATATTAGTAGGAATTTATGAATATCTATTTCAGAGGATGTATATCTATCAAATACGATGCGTCATATAAGGAAGAGCAATGCATTTATTTTGTGATTTGTATCGAATTCTTTCATAAGAGGTTTACGATTGGATCAGAGTTCATTTAAAATTTCCGAGAGGAAATATATATTATTACCTTGAAGGCATCATATTGTTTGAAAATAATTACATTTATATCTTTGCATTGGGACCAGTGAGTTATCAATTAAAAATATATCACATCATTAATTTAGCGAAATTATTTTAATTCTTTAAATAACATCATTATCGGCATTGCATGGTTAATGTTAAAGGCAGACTCAACCAAACGTGTTATCATATGACCTTGTTTGCTTGCCTTAAGTATGTTATAACTTATACATACGTTATCAGAAGCTTTATTTTTATATTGTGTAACATTAATCTAATAATTACCCAAACACGTAAAGTTGCCCCTTATTACGTTACAGTTTTATAATTGAGTGCACTGATGTTGATGATCATGTATATACCCACTGAAATTTGGCATTTTTATTCTGAATAAATTAATTTTTTTTCTTACATTTATTGATAAAGTGAACTTTTGTATACACAAGTATAACAGTATAACTCACGTACTTCAATGTTTTACAGAATCAAAACTGTTAAAGGGATGCTTATGATAAAATAAATGAAAATCTGATAATCATTGATACCGTGCTGCAGAATGCAAGGAATATTTAACAATACGTGAACAGATTTAGTTTCCAATTTAAATGTCAAATATGAAGTTTCTAATTTATGATTTTTTCCGTAACACTAACTTTAAAGATCATATTTGTATAATTTATACCAAATCACAATAAATGACAGTTTTAATTTTATGTCCATTTTTTTTTTATATTTGAATTACATATAAAACACGACACTTAATAGTTCAGTTAAGCGTATAATATTCGAATACAGTTTGTGCAGTAAGCATTACTCTGAAGTTGACAAAATCAGTCAAGAAGTATCCTGTATACGTTAAAAAAACAGTAACCTACACTAAGCTAGAAATAATACTTGATCAATTGGATTCAAATAAATTTAACTAAGCTTACGGTTAAAGATTGTCCGGAGATATCTCAACATGAAATGCTTTTTGTTTGGATTCATGATTTACATCTACTTTATTGACAAAGGTAAGGAATTTACATACTAATGTCTATTCTCATTTTAGTGGGTAACGCATAACGTACTATAAATATCATTATTTCGTATACAACAGATTCGCTGATCCAACCGCAACATTGTGACTTAGTGTAAATATGAACAAGTGAAACATAGAGCTCTTGTTCCCGAGAATACGGTCTGATTTCCAATAATTTTTAAAAACGGCAAAGCATTTGACTAGGATCTTTAATACGCTTCCTGTGAAATTGCAAGATCAGATTCAGATACCAGGATTACTAATTACAAAGTCATTTGGGTTATCTTGCACTGCAGCGTGTGTACCGATATTGATATTTACGACATGAGCTGACTAATCGTATGTTAAGAAATCATTAGTAATAAAAACATTACTATTCTCTTTACACATGATCTTTTTATCGCTGTTTGTTAAAAAAAAATAATATTGCTGATATGATGCAACGAACTGACGGAGAGCAAAAGCCACTAAAAGGTACAAAATGTAGATGTTTTATAATTAACACGTTGAAAATAAATGTTTTTTTTTTATATACGACAGGTTTCATTTCAACAAATAATCGAATAAAACGATGAGTACAGTGACTTGAACCTATATCAGGACCCTCATCACTCATTTACATTGTTTTTACGCACCATATAGTTTTACAATACACAATTACTAATTGTATTTGTTTTATAACTTTGGCTTAATTTGGATTTTGTTTTCGAACTGAACTGAGAAAACATTATTTGTAAATATGAACTGTTGTTGAAGTAACAGTGGCACCGCTTAGGTTATTGACAACATAGAAAAATAAGGACTTGTAAACACGAATCAAATCAAAACCTGGGAGTGATGACATATATCGTGTTAGTTACCAACAAAAATCAAACATCATGTTATTTTCTTTTTCATTCCAGGTCATCAACACAAGATTATCTTTTCAACTAATGGGAAAATTAAGGAAACAGACTTAATAACTGGAAAAGTAGCAGATTTGTTGACGAATCTACAAAGTGTCATCCATTCTATAGATTATGACTATAAATATGAATATGTTTATTTTACAAGATTTGAGCAAAATGACATATTGAGGTATTTTTTTCCATGTATATGTCATAGATTATATTTTCCCTTAATATTACTTTTAAAAAATGCAGGAACCCCTACGATGTGAACTCTCATCAAAACACTGTTAAAATAAAACATAGAAAAAAGTTACGCAGCATTGAACTATCTATTATCTCGGTAGCCTGACTTGGCGCAGACACAACATGAATCAAGACCTAATATATCAAACGCATGCAAACATATTTCCCGTTTGTTTATAATGATAACTTGTCATAAAAAAAGACAATATCCAATTGTTCATTTACAGTTATTGTTGCAAACATGTGAACATGCTTTTCCTATTAGATAACTATTTTTCGTTTTATTATTTTCTTTGAAAGGAGGAGTCATACATATATATATATATACAAAAGAAAGGAAACACGTCAAGCAAAGTAACAACGCATTTTCCTATACATTTCTATTCCTAATCTTAAATCTCAACCAGCTTTTTGACAATGAACAGTCAATCGTAAAATTAAGGCTTGAACTGTGATAAGTCTACCAGCAACTAGTTATTTGAACAAATATTAAAGGAAGCCATATAAGGTGAATATTACTTTCTTGATTCAGATTTCAAATTGAAAGACTCTAGACTCTGGATTCATTGTAATTATATATTCATTTGTTTTGACTTTATCAAATCAAAATAAAAAAAAAAACGTGATACGGTTGCCTTTGAGATAAATCTACACAAAAGACCAAATGACACGGAATTGAATAATCAAAGGTTACCATACTGTCTTCGAAAATAAACAAAAGACCAAACCGCATAGTCAAATATAAAAGGTCCCGACATGACAAATGTAAAACTATTAAAACAAGAAAACAGATATTACATACAGCATCAAACGACAACCACTGAGTTACTGGATCCTCTCTTGGAACAGACAAAGGATGAATGCGGTGGAGATAACCGAGTTTGCTGTCACACAACTTTCACCAAACCTTGCATAGTGATGTAACATTATTATATAGGAACAAACTATACAAATCAGTTGGAAAAGGGTTTTATTTATCAGATCGATACAAAGCAGAAAAAAAACAGACTGGACTTGGCAGGCCTTTTATACATCCCCATAACAAGAGAGATACGTAGTACAGATTCGAGAGTACTCGCAGTTGTTGAAAGGTAGTTCAAAGCCTATAACAACTTATACAATGGTACATGTGGTAAATATGATGAGAGACCGGGCGAGACCCTCATAGGTAGTCAAGGTCGTTTAACCCCCTCATTGTTGTATCTGGTGATTTCATACACTATGTAGTTACTATGTAGTTTCATTGAATTTCAGTTATTTGAATGCCTGATTTACAGTAGTTTGTTTAACGAAATATTACTGAAGAGGTAATGACACATCTACTCTTTTTAACTTTTAGATTTCGGTATCCTTCAGAACAACCATACATTTCAGAAACTGTCACAATGGCAGATAAACCTGTTGGTGTTGCCGTTGATCCACTATCCAGCCACGTGTATCTGACTGAATATGGCACAGGAAAGCTTTACAGGTGTAATTTAGATGGGTCAAATAAAATAAATATACTCAAGGATGATCCGCTGTATGCTCTCACATTAGATTATTCGCACAGGTATGTCATAAATTAAAAAAAATATGGCTTATAACTATGAACATGTTCAGTTGCTCGCGAAATTATTTTCGCTTATTTTGGTACTACGTTAAAACAGTACAACATACCCTGTGCTAATAGTTTGCGAAATATACAACATTGGTACGATGTATGCAGTGAAATAGCAAAAAAAAAGTATAGTCCATGTCCTCCAAAATGAAATTATGGACTCTTATCAACCGTATAAGACCCTCTTGTGCAAATGTATACAGTCTTAGTCATGTTAGTGTTCATCTATGAGTCATGTATTACAACTGGCATACGAGTTGAACATAATACTAGCTGTAACCCAACATGTTTTCCGGAAAATACCTGTAACAAGGCAAGGATGTGAGATTTGTTTTCCGATCGTTCTCTTGGTTGACGTCGTGTGATTTTATCAACTATTATGGATTTCGTCTTTTTGCATTTACCTTCGAGTTCACTATGTTTGTTATACTTTTTTTCTCCATTTTATTTATGCACAATTTTACTCTAGTAAACTTTTGTACAGCATTACGAATGAAACATATCTACCTCAAGGTAGCAAGAAAACAAACCATGAAAACCTTGTTTTAAACATGAAACAACTAAAAGAGTATATTAATTTATTTGACACTGGTTGTAGAGGTTTCTTCTCCAAGGGTATATGCAGACTAGTACTCAGCACTGAATAACCATTGGGATGTTCATGATTATCATTCATTGTTTACGAAACTTTTATATTTTTTAATATTTCTAATACGTATAATTTTTCTACCACATAAATTGATTTCCTGAGCTGTATTTGAAAAACATGTCGGAATTTTTGGTCTTCAATCTTCCTTCGTCAACTTTGGAGTTTATTTACCCCTGTTATTCGAGCGTAACTTTCGAGTCTTATTTTTTTACGAAAAGCGAGTCTGTCATACACAATTTCAACCTTGGCATCAATGATGAGTTTATTGTTTATTTGAGTTTTCAAATCATTTTTTTTCTTTAAAACAGATTGATGTACTACAGTACATATTTAACTGGCGACGGAAAAATTAAAAGAGCGAGACTAAATGGAACAGAGAAACAGACAATCATCCATAGTTCACACAGAATATATGGGATGAGCATAGGTGAGTTATTTTACATATTATGATATCAAATTCGTTCTGTTATAATTATTAATATGAAATGTTATTTGATTTCATATCTTTACCATGTATACGCAGCGATTCCAATTATACAGGTCTATTCAATGTATTATTGACGTCTTCTTTATGTTTTTGGATAAATATCTTCAAAGAGGCAAACAGCGAGTGATACAGTGGGTACATATGAGTCAATTATCTGCAATACACAAATTATAACGCAATGAGATCAAACCTTCAAAAGATAAAAGAATAACTTTTTTTAGATGCCACTGAAAATCAACTTTATTGGATGGAATATACCAGTGGCGATTTAAAATCTTCAAATACCAATGGAGATAATGAAATCAAAGTTGTCAGCACAAATGCAGCCTCTACAAACATAGGCATTCATGTATACGGAAGCAACGTATACTGTGCAACTGGTACGACAATACTCAATGTCACAATAACAACTACAACGATAAAGAATGTTATATACTCAGATCCAGAGAGAATTTTTAGTGTGATTTTCTATACTGAAAAATGTAAGTATATGAAGGAAAACGTATTCACAAGAAAACATAATTGTGCGATTGATATTCAATTGTATTCGTAGTTAAAGAAATATTCCAAAAAGTAAATTAACGGAAATACCGAACTCCAAGGAAAATTCAAAACTGAAAGTCCTTATTGAAAATAAAGGCTCACACACATCAAACGAATGGCAACAACTGGAAAATCCCTGCCCTAATCCTGACTTGGTACAAGCATTAACATACGTAGATAATTGTAGATAATATCTCGTTTTTAAGATAGCTAAATCTTTCACACATATGACAGTGGCATAGAATCCCATTATATTGACAACAATGTGTGACTAAAACAGACATTAGTTAAAATTGTCCAAAATTGTAGTAATAAGTGTATAACATGAATGAGCTTAGAATTATCAAAGGAGCTTTTAAATTGATAATTACTGGTTTGAATAAAATATTCAATACAATATATCAAATGAAAAAGGTGGTCTATTTGTTGTTTAACAAGTATATTATTGAAAAATATGTTATTATTGATTATCATAGTGTCAGATTTTAATAATTGTTTTTACTAATATATTCATTCATCAGTGTATTTAAATTTGTATATGTTTGCGTTTGTATTCGTCTTGTCAACAATTGATAGTTGTTAACTGGCAACTTCTTTAACGCATTCTATTACTAAATTCACAATTTGTTAATCTCTGATATGAATGCTTGAACATAATGCACTTAACTGATATATAACTTAATGCTTTTAATATTTATTTTGTTCAACGAGTATAAGTTGTTAATGTATTACATGTACCTATTGAAAGATGATAACCCAGCTGAACGCTTTAGAATTGTATGTTGATTTGAGTCAGTGCATACTTAGCTGGTATGCACAACGTTTGTCTTCAGATTTCCTATAGATACAATGTATAACAACTACATCAATATTGCTGTGTGTAGCAGTTCATAAAAAATGTTAATTTCCACAAAATCGTTACTCTTTTGGACTGTTGTTTTTTTTTAGATTTTAAATTATAAATGAATACAGATAAGTATAGATATATGCATATAAATTAAATTTGTTTTCGTTTTCTGTTTAATAATCAAGGTCTCATTTCCTTTACATTAGAAATCTGTTAATAATGCTAAAAAAATAAAAAGACAATCATGCTTCTTTAACTTTGCATTTATTTTGTTAGAGAAAACGAGTGTAGTATTAAGAATGTCTTTTATAGAATGTAAGTATTATTATATATTACTGTGACAAACAATGGCATCCAAGAATTGACCGTAAAATGAAATTAAGCACTGCTCTTATTGCAGCATACGAATCAAACATAAGCAACATTATCATTTAATTGTGCACTTCACTCTTTCAACTCTGTCAACCAGATCACATCGGTATATTTGTGTTTCGAAAATATATCCTTTCACTATTATTTAAATGGTTCATATTATACAAAAAATGACTTATTGTTCATACCGTCAAATTCTTTTTTTGTGTATTAAATCTTTGTGAGCTGTTTTGAAATGTGTTGTTGAAGCTAGAGTACCGAAGAAAACAGTTAACGTTCGCAACATAACTGATAGTCCTTGAAAAAGAAAGGCAAAAGATACCAAAGGCACATTCAAACGCATAAGTCGAACATAAACTGACAACGCCATTGCTAAAAGAAAAAAGAACCACATACAAATAACATTCAACAAAAAACTACAAAGAAAACTAAATACTGCAAAACACGAACCCCGCTAAAACTGGGAATGATCTCAGGTGCTCCTGAAAGGTAAGCATACCTTACTCCATATGCGCCACCCGTCGTTATTAAAATGAGATCAGAATCGAACACACGTAGGAATAAGTTGGGTATCAACTTACAACTTAAGGGTCACAAATGATTACTTTAAGTGTGATACTTAGTCGATGCTTTCTCCTTCATTTCACCGAGCCCTTGAGTATACCTTACATACGTTGAAGATACTCTTGCCAAACACGAAAAACAAAAGGAACACCATACCATGATTGGACTATTATGAAAATATATTAGGCATGTTGTAAATAAACTCATCAGTGATTTTTTTTTATATTGAACAGGCGATGACCGTTACTCAATATCAAGGTGTTTATGACGATTTACATTGGTTCAATGAGTCCCCCCTTGAATCTACAGTGTACAATGTAAGTAATGTGAGTGTCCATTGGAGCTGGACATTGCATATGTATGTCTTGTTTGTTTATATGATCGTCATGCAAAGAATAAAAAAAATTTCCCAAATGAATAATATAAACAAACGTGTCCTACAGAAATTAGCAAATTTAGAAACCCACAAGTACTAGGAATGCAAATTATACTTTTCACAAAAATGTGACCTACCGAATTAGACTTGTTACCGGGTTTGTACTAACAGGATCTGCTTACCCTTCTGCCGCATCTGAGATTACTCCCAGTTTTTGGTGGGGTTCGTATTGCTTAGTCTTTAGTTTTCGACGTTGTGTTTTTTTGTGCTTATGTTTCTCTGTGTGTTTTTTTTTTATAGCCATGGTGTTGTCAGTTTTTAATTTTCGATTTATGAGTTTGCATGTCCCTCTGGTATCTGTCGCACCTTTTTTATACAAATAATGTTGGTCATTACACTCGCGAATCATTGACCGAACATATTTGAATCCCTGAATTTAGTTCAAGTCTGACAACTGATTTATTTGAGATACAGACATAGAAATGTAATATGGAAAACGAAATACAGTAAGGTTGAGATATGTATAAAATCTTTAAAAAATACCATATGTAATAAATCTATTTTAAATTTATCTATTATAAAATTTGTTTTGAAGTTGTTTATATGTTAAGCAGCTGATTTAACAAGCAAGTGCATTGAAACCACAAAAAACCCACGAAAAGTTTTCAAAGGTACAAAACGGTAAAGCTAGATTAGTCGAACTAATTTGTTTAACATCGTGGTAAAATGCAAAAATAGAAAACAAACGCACTACTGTATAATTAATCCCTTTTGTTGTGTGCTCATAACATCTAGTTGATATATCGACATTATAACAAAAACACTGGTTTTGTATGTATTCCTTTTTTGTCACAGTTTAGACAGTTATTTCCTCTACGTACAGTACATTTTCATATGTAATGAATGTGGTTTAGGTAGTCTCCCTTTAATTTTTTCAGATTAGTATTTTCTTAATTAAATGTTTATTTATGTTTAATTTGATCTAGACAGGCTAAAATACAAAGTAGCTTAAATAATTTAACTATAAAAGTATTTAAATTTCATAATACTTTACATATTTGAGGGATATTAATTTATTCAATTTTTCTTCAATACCATATTTTTATTTATATCTTTGAAATTGATAAGATTTTCCTTATCACTTGATCAGGAGTTGCTCCGGTGGAGAGAAGTTCACTCTCCACATGTATATATGAGCCGGCAGTGTAGCACTGCCACCCTTCTCTAATATACCAGCTCGCAGTAATGAATCATTCCACTCGAGTTATTTAACAGCAACTGCATTGGCATTATTTTGGAAACATTTACCAAATTCTAAAACACAACGCGAAGTATCAAAATACAGTTTCATTTACTTTTTCAACTTAGTTTTTGAAGAACTATTTTATTTCAATTCATTTGACTTGAAATACTTTTCTTTTCCATTTTGTTTGCGAACAATAATTTTGAATTACATTTCATTTTGAACTTAACTTTCGAAATACTATTCCTTTTCATTTCATTTGATAATGGTTTATTTGAATGTTGTACATTTGTAAATAAATTGTTGAGTTCTATTAGTTTATGTCTGTTCAGCAAAATCTGATATCAGGTATCCCAAGGATCGAAAAGGGACGAAGTACTAGCCACTACACGTCCCCGGAGGTGTCGTCACCGACCCCCTCCTGTTACACATATTTTAAAATTCATATGTATAATAAATGAGAACACTCAAAATCAAACAGCTTTCACATCTCCTTGTGTATTGATGTGTAAATACTTTTTCTATACATTTAATATTTATACTTATTTCTGTTAAATTTGAAGATGATTTTACATTGAAATTAGTTATTTGTTCTTGTTTTGCAGATAACAAATCAGAAACGATGCTAGTGGTTGCTACATGATAGGTTTTTTTAAAAGAAGACTGCTAACGCCATAATGCTTTATAAACTACAAAGTAGTGTACTGAAAGGAACGTACTAGTATGGCGGTAGTCATCATTTAATTGTAACCTCATTTAAGACAAATTTTGTATTAATTATGTAAACAAAAATCCTACATTGTCTGGTAAATAAATTTAAAAAAAAACCCGATATTTTTGTTTTAATAGAATGATAGAAATTTGTCTTACATGTAAGTTAAATACAGCTGTTATTACAATTTGCGGTTCATTAAAGACTTTTTTTATATAAATTTAGACAATTTGAACATTATACACAAGAAAGGGTAATATATGAAAAAGAAACTGCTGCAGCAAATATGATTATATGTACAATAATTGTATTACATAGTATAGTTAAAACCACAATGGTAAATACTGAACAGCAAAATGTATTACTCTAATGTAATGGTACATTTTAGAGACAAATTATCCAAAAAATATATACATCTACATGGCATTATTTCTGTCAGAAAAATAGGTTAGTTTGTTCAAAAGCAACCTGGACAATACCTACTTTCAATGGCATATAGTTCAAAGCAAAAAATGAGGATCTCTGTAAGGTCATCATTTACCCTAATTAAAATGCAAAAACACAGTTTCCTATACTAATTGATTTAATTGATTTTTATCTTGTATTGGGTCCTTTTGTTTTTACTGTTCTTTATCAAGTTTTTAATAAAATTGAAAATGGAAGTCTAATAGTCTGTGAAGGTTTTAAGTACATGTAGAAACAATTTTTTCCTCTATTTTGTGGAATGTATTACCCTAGAAGTTGTAAACGCACTGCTTTATTTTCGAAACAAATACAAATTTCGTGAATGTATCGTTACAATACAGAAACATTATTTGAGATGAATTAGCTGATGCAAATTTGTTCAAGCTTATATTCATAGCATTCGGAAGGAAGTATACAATGTTGTTGCTTCACCGTGCATCGAAAATCATACTTTGACCGATGAATGTCGATTGTTATATAATGTTTTTACAATTTGTCCTCTTTCTGTGGTAATCTTTGATTGTTTTTGATAGTTTTCCGTCTCTTTTTTTCTCTCTATATATATTTATTTCTTTAAAACATGCCATATGTGAAGGAGGATCTGCTTAACCTTTCAGAGTACCTGATATCTTCTTCGTTGGGTTCCTGTTGGTCAGTCCTTACTTTTCTATGTTGTGTTTTGTGTACTGGTGTTTGTCGTTTGTTTTTTTTTTGCCATGTTGTTGTCAGTTTATTTTTGACTTTTAAAGTTGAATGTCTCTTTGGCTTATTTCGACTCTCTTGTACTCTCTCAATTTAAAAACAAACATCATCGTTTGCTATAGGATAACAGGAACTTTTTTAAGGTGGGAGGGGTATACAACTTTTTCTGATTCTTATTTTTGAAAATTATCCAGTTGAAGTTTGTCTAGCAAACAAAATTGTATTGATTGACAAACGCAAACAATTGTCTTGAATGGTTCGCTAAAAAATTGTTGAAAATATAATCTGGTTTTCCTCCGTAGACAAATCTTAAAACAAGAAAAAAAAGTATGGCATCCACTTTTATGAAGTTAATATAATGAACTGCTAACAAAGTTAAGTGACATTTAATTTTCATACACCGTGATATTGTTTCTTTCATCACACTGATACAGTAACATGTTTATTACAACTGAACAATGATTTCTTACGTTTATCGGTAAATTAATTAGTGTTATATACTTTTCTTAGATATAAGAAGATGCGGTATGAGTGCCAATGAGACAACTCTCCATCCTAGTCACAATTTGTAAAAGTAAAACATTATAGATCAAAGTACGGTCTTCAATACGGAGCCTTGGCTCACACCGAACAGCAAGCTATAAAGGGCCCCAAAAATGACTAGTGTAAAACCATTCAAACAGGAAAACCAATGGTCTAATCTATATAAAAAACGAGAAACGAGAAACACCTATGAACCACATCAACAAACGACAACCACTGAACATCAGGTTCCTGACTTAGGACAGGTGCAAACAAAAGTAGCGGGTTTAAATGTTTTAATAGGTACCAACCTTCATCCTTACCTGAGGCAATAGTGTAACATCACAACCTAGAAAGACAAACTATAAAATATCAATTGAAATGGCTTATCTCAATCAAAAGACATATTAACACAAACAAATTTACTAATCAAATCTTTGTATCTTGGGCAATATGCGTAATAGATTTTCCATAGGCGGTATTGGTAACGTTTTCCTCTGTAGCACAGACCATATCGTAAACTTGGATATGCATGATGGCTCGTTTCGAAGCTGAGACATTTTCACATATGTGGTTAAATTTTAGGGGTACGAAGTGTGAGTCATTTTTCCGTAAATTAGCACACCCCGAAAATTCTTTCGTGATGCGGCTCCTGGTTCTAAAAAATACGTTTTTTCACACCATAAGTTCTTTGAAAATTTAATACTTTGCATACATTCAATAACTTTATAGTTTTTACACATTTATTCTTTGGTCCTCTACTTTTCAAATCAACACAAATGATTAAGCTCAGTCACTTGTTAAAAATAGAAACATGTCCAATATCACTACACAGAGATTTTTTGTTTGCGCACAACTTTTGTGTTCCTCAAGTTGAGGCGCATTAGGGATATTGACCAATAATGAAATCCCTAGTTCAGACTTTTCCAAGTATTCTTGTGTGATCTTCATCAGTATGACTTTTTGAATAAATCTGTGTATTTTTGTCCATTTTCGAAAGAAAATAAAGTTGTTTCAGCACTTTAAGGCAATGACCTTTATTGTTATATTTATCAATTTTGAACAAAATTATACGAAATTGTGTCTTAATAACAGTCATTCTAATGCAACATTATTTGTAACTTATATTTTGACTGGATAACACACAATTTTCATGGTATCAGTTCACAATTGTCTCCTAAAAGACAGACATGAAACCTGATGAAGGTTAATCCAGATAAAGACATTCGACGGCACGATTGTCATGAAGTTTGTTTTCGTTATGTACAAACAAAGTACATGTACACATCATTCACAAATCACTAGCAAAGGAAACGCGAGACTTGTTTATATCATTAAATAACTATTGTTTGACTCATAAAAACTGTTATGTCACTTATAAACCATAGGTCCAATTTTTTATTAACACAATTTATAACGTTGCGAGCTTTGAAACACTAATCATTTCTTTCGGTATATGATTGTTAAAAGTGTTTTGGTTTATTTTGTCAAACGTTGATATTGTAGAACGACTGTACACAATTATTATTGCCCTAAGCTATTTGTGATTAAGATATCCCTTAACCGTCAACCGAATTGTGATTGCGTCTATACATTTATTTTGATAAGAGTAAAAACAATAGCTTTAATATAAACAGTAGTCCACAGAAATTTAACAAAAGACACAAGTCCTGCTGCTATATATTGACATATTGAAATTGATAGTTCACTATGACAAAATAGAAATAATCTTTCTCCTAACCTTACCTTCAATTTTAACTCCTTATTTGGCTTTACTAAGGTTCTGTTTGGTTTCTTCGTCAGTAGTATTAGATTATGTATTATGCCCCAAGATTCCCGACGATATATTACGTGTCGAAATGCACATCTGGTACTGTTAAATTACTGGATCAGATATTGGTCAAAATATGTGGCAGACCTAACTCCTCCCCCTCCTCCTCCTCCTCCTCCTCCTCCTCCTCCTCCTCCTCCTCCTCCTCCTCCTCCTCAACATCATCATCATCATCATCATCATCATCATCATCAGCAGCAGCCGCTGAATCAGCGATATCAACAGCAGTAGCTGCTGAAGCAGCGATATCAACAGCAGTAACAGCAGAAACAGCAACATTAGCAGCAAGTTCAGGAAACTTGTATAGCGAATTTACTTATTTTCAAAGAGTGCACATATTCCATATACAATGCAAAAAACGTCCTGAGACAAAATTTATTGACAAAACCTATTAGTTATATATAATTGTTCTGCCGTTCTGCATTTTCTGTTATTGTTCGACAGTCATGACTGCAAGCAATAGATTGTTGTAACATTAAGAGAAATAATTCTCATATTACCAAATTAAATGGTTATATTATGCAGGATTGTTCTCCAATCCTTATATTGTATCATTTCATATAGATAAAACAACTCATCAATTATCTGGTAGTAGCTAGTCTGCATTGTTTTGTTTGGAAAGCGGGATTTTCGGTTTAAATCTGTGGTCGGATCATATCATTTCCTAATAATTTGATAAGGGTTCTTCTTGATTAAGCACGCAGCATTAAAAAGAGCAAATACTGGTTGGCTCGAAAAAAAATGTCTGGTAGTTTACCATGTCTCTTGAATATACAATCTGATAAGGCTTTGCATGTCAGTCTAGAAGGGCACATTTAAATCTTTCCGTCCTGAATATGCATTTGATTTTCCGTTCTCAATTACAGCAAACCATGATCAGCATAAACACAAAGTTAAGACGTAGTTTTGAAAATACGAACTTAGAACCATATCATTTACACATTTGTGTTTTCCGTCTGATGTTCTGTTGAAACACCATTTTCCAAGGTTGGAGGAAAGGTACAAATATGTTTACCCAACCTCATAATCTATGTGGTTGTCCCAAGTCAGCTTCTAATGTTACGATTGTCTTCTGCTCCTGTCTGTCATAATTGTTTTTCGTTGGTTGGATTTTACAAATTATGCCGTCAATTTTCTCGTTTGGAGTGTTTCACATTGTTTATGTCCAGGTCTATAAAAGCTGACTTTACAGTTTGTCTTTTCTTCATTGTTAAAGGCTGACATTGGCCTATCATTACTTTTATCTTCGTTCTTTTTTTTTTTTTTATCTCTATCGGATAGTTGTAGCATTTGCAATCAATCATACCACATTTTAATTTTATGCATGTGGAATATTTAATGAATATAGATATCTTTTTCCCCTATCTCACATACGACTACATATCCTACGGTTTACATTTTTTGTTGAATCATGTTTTATATATATTTTTTGTATCATGTTTTTGAAGCGTGTCGACCATGTCATAATAAAGTTTCAATGCAGTCATACTGGTAACAGGGATATATAGTTTTTATCGGTTGTGAATATAATTTATTAAGTTACTAGTTTATTTGATCTGTAAGTATTTTTAGATATCACTTTTTGTATTTTTTTTTTCTGAAAGCAATTTTGTTATTAATATTAGTACAAAATCATCAAAATAAAGGTCTACAACAGGTGTTACATTATTTGACTTAACCTTAAATACAATAGTTGAAACGAAACACTATAAATCACAGGGTCTAAAAGCAATACTGTCTGTTTTAAAGGTACACAGATACGAATATTTCATTTTTTACAACTCACTGTATCCATGTCTTTATCGTTGAACAATTATTGTTTTATCCGTTAATTTATGTTAAATGTAAACTAAATACTCTCGTAGTGAGATGTTTTGTTATTTATTCTTTTTACAAATTTAAATATTACAAAGAATGCGGAACGTCGAACCCATTTTTTTTACAAAAAAAAAACAACATATGATTACCTGAAAGATCGTTCTTTCATCAACATGGGAACTTGATACGGAAGAATTTAGTTACAACAATTTATATTTGCGTTTCATTATCTACCTTGCTTGTCAATAGGATTACAGATTGGACATATAATGCTTTTGCATCTTATTTTATAGTCACTTTAAGGGTAAGTTATAATAAACTCGTGACATTTTTTATACATTAAATGATCTTAAAATGTACTGTACCAAGTCAGAAACATGTCAGTTGCTATAAACTAGTCCGTTTCTGTGTATGTTGAAATTTGTTTAATGTTGCAGTACAGTGTTTCTGTTGTTCTTTAGTTTTCCCCTTAAAGTTGATTTTTCCCTTCGGTTTTAGTTCGTAACCCGGGTTTGTTTTTGCTTAATCGATTTATTAAACAGCCTTTTACTAATGTTGCCTTTTTTTATTTGAAAGAAAATGAAAACAATATAACAACATTTAGCAAACAGAACAGCCTGGATAATAAAAAAAACAAAACAAAAAAAACAACAATATAGATATAGAATACCCGACGCAAATAAAAAATATTTGCATTTACCATCTAAACATGATTAATTTTTGAATATATCATCACAATTTGAATTGAAAATTGTGTTTTACTTTGACTTATTAACAATAAATTCTTTATATTTTGCAGATAACATCATGATGGAATACAGTGTTTGTGTTTTTATTAAGTTGCTCATTTTCGTTTGCTTCATCAGTAGAGGTAAGGGACATGCTTGTAGTTAAATAGTCATTCACATAATACTATATAAATTATTCTTAAATAAACGAAAACAAAAACGATCACGCAATGCTTATTACAACAAATAATGAATACAAAGTGTAACAAGTTGAAAGGTGATCATTTGTACCTTATATACGTTTATATTGCTTAGAAAAAAGGGTTGAACATTAGTTGAACACAATGTTATATGGTAACATTCGTGTCGTACCTTATAACCTTTTTAGCTAAGTGTTGTCAAAAAAGGTTGTCATTCAGAGATCAAACGAGACGACACGTGTGGTGTTCGATACAAAAACAAAATAATTGATACAATCAGTAGACAACTCCACTCTAGCTGTAGTTGATACTTACCACAAGATTGAATTTGCACGCGGAATATTAGATTGATGGTTCGAATCTGTATTTCAAAAAGCTTCTTTTTATAAATGTTTAAATGTAGCTGACATTGTTTGTATGATATTGCTACATAATGTATGCGTTGGTCATAGTTAAATATGTATGAAACAACGCTATTGATTGTTATATATATGTTTTTTTTATTCATTGTTTAAGGTTCGACAAAAATACTTTTTAAAAACATATGATCAATATTTACCAACTTCACTTATCAAGCGTTTTTATTCATTTATTAATATACAGGTTTTTTTTAAAAAGGGATCGTATCTTTGAATGTATATAAAAACCATGCCAATTCAGTTATATATAATCGATTTTTAAAATGAAAGCTATATACATATATTTATTTATGCCGCTGATGGACATAAATGTCAGAAATCAAACATACATGTGAATCACTTAAACAAATGTTTTAAAGCCTTGCTTTCGTCCCAACGTTTAATCTTTAAATATGGCTTCATTGAAACTGCTGTTAAAGTAAACACTGAATCTAGTTAGTGTTATGTGTTTATATATAGTCGTATATGATTTATAGCAAAGTCATGACAGTTTCGTTCCTTTGTGTAATGATGCAATATGTCATGTGATATAATTTGTTTCTTTCTGAATAAACGTGCTATGGTTAGTTGATGTGCTTTTTTTTGTGTGGCTCTAATCAAATATACGTTTAGCGGTATTGGGAGGCAAGTATTTGTCCCCGATGACGTAATAATATAATAAGAAAACAAAAGAAAACAGAGACTATTTGCTTAATAAAAATACCATGAATATGTCAAGGCCTCCGTGTAATTAATCTCTCAGACTCACGCGGGCTTAAGCTCTTAATGTTACCATTGTAGATTATTCTGCAATTGATATAATACATATAGAAATAATAAGGTATAAAGACATAAAGATTGCAACAGAGAACATCATTTCTCGAAAAACAACTTATTACACCACATGAAGCATCTGGAACGGGTAATTTCTATTGATATGTTGTCTAAAGCTTAAGTAGATAATTCAGCTTTTCTTCGTAAATAAAACCAAACATATACAGCGACCACAGCCAAAACTATCTGGTGCTGGTTTTGGGGAAAAAAAATGTAAGAAAGAAAACTTAGAGTATAATTATAATAGAATGTTTTTTGTTTTTTTTTTTTCTTTAATTTCAGGGCTTCAAAACAAGATAATCTATTCAATTCATGGTTCAATTAAAGAAATAAACTTGCTCAATGGAGTAGTATCAACTTTAGTATCCAATCTGCAGAGTAATATATATTCCTTAGACTATGATTATAAAACTGGATATATTGTTTTCCCGAGGCATAATAAAGACGACATTTTAAGGTAATCAATCAAGGCATTTTCTTATAATCTTAAAATTGATATATACATGTGTATGTTGTATTTCAGTACTCCTGTCTTTGGCTGGAATCATTTATCTATTTAAATACAGTTTCAGGAATCCCATTTTATCGATCGTTCAGCATTCTGGCAAAATGTTTAAAGATTGACTGAAAATTATTATGGACGACAACTAATTCTATTTGGCTTTAATCATCTTACATGTTAAGGGAGGCGAAAGATACCAGAGGGACATTTAAACCCATAAGTCAAAAAATATACTGACAACGCCATGGCTAAAAAAGAAAAAAAAAACAACAGACAAAGTTCAAAAAACACAACATAAAAACTAAAGACTGACCACCACGAACACCTAAAACTGGGGGTGATTTCAGGTGCTCCGGAAAGGTAAGTAGACACTCTTCCACATAAGGTTACCGTCGTATTGATCATATAAGTACAAATATCCGGTAATAAGACAAATTCGGTAGTTCACATTCCGGAAAAATTGACGGGATTGTAGTTACGACATTATGAACATCTATGAAACGGATATTCCATAACGGTCAACCAACTTCTGATGGCGTCCTTAAAACTTAGGAAGAGATACTTTTAATTTCATCATTTGTGACTCTTGGTTTAATAGCTTCCTTGTGGACAACAACCCTCTATCAAGGAAATGGTGATAGGAAATGCAATACCTGGAAAATCGTATCAACTTGGAGATATGTATTTCGTATGCAGGCTGGAATATTACTACATAGAAATAGCAACTACTGTGTGACTTTATAGTTTTGTGATCTGCGTCGTTATATCACTAAAATCCTTTTGGTTCTTAACTTATGCTGTCACAATACTGTTCCAGCTTAGAGTGACAGTTACACACACACAATCTTGTGCAACCTAATGTATTCACTGTGTGCCTGTTTTAAGTCGGGATTATTCAATGAAGTTCTGAGTTTTGTATTATGTTTATTGTTTTTCTTGTTTAAATTATTTCATATTTCGCCATATTGATGCATTTTAGCTACTTAACGATCATGGTTTCCATTATTGTTGAAGTCCATACCAAGACCTGATAAACCTTGAGTTACTTATAAATATATCCACGTCATTTATACTACCCCAAGTTAGTTTATCTTACATAGTCTCATATAATATACTGTAGTGATTGCTAATAAGAATGAAAACAATGGTCTTAAATTTTAATAAAATATAATGGTTAAATCATAAAATATATTGGAGGAATCATTCTGATAGACTGAACGCCAATAACCTCAATTAAAAGTACATAAGGTACTATTAGGGATTTTCAAATATGAAAAGATTGTTTTGGGAGAGAGAAAACTACAAGCAAAGAGAGAAGTTAACATACAAATGAAAGTTGGATATTTTCGTAGGACGAACCCTCATATCCTCAAAATACAGAGAGTGAAGACGAAACAAGTGTCACATTCATTTTGTTTTGTTTTGTTGATAATTAGATCTTTGCTAATCTATTCTCATCTTAATTGTTTACATGGGAGCAAATAACCTTGGTTTCATTTTTCATGCTAACCACTTTGTCTTGGTCAATGGGTTATGGTTTTGTTCAATATTTTCACCTCTGACAAATGTTTTGTATATATTTCGTTATTTTCGTGTTTTCAATAATTTGCTGTGTTTCACGAAAGAAAATCCTGAAAAGCGCTTCAAACGCACGGAATGTATTTATTTCATTTTAGGAAGTGTGAAATTATACAAAAGTATTATTTACATTTCACAGGTTTCGTTATCCATCTGATACAGCTTATAGCACTAAATTGGTAACAAGTGCAAGGGAACCAATAGCTCTGGTTATTGACCCGCTATTGAATCATGTGTATTGGACAGAAATATACCAACAAAAGATCTATAGATGTAATTTTGATGGGACAAATAAGAACTTCATTCTGCAAGATGATCAACTATATGCTATTACATTAGATTACGTAAACAGGTTTGAATTAAAATTAATACGGCATTTGGGAATCTGGCTATAATAAGATAATAGAGAAAGCACGAAACCAGCTTATCTGTCTAAATTCGATTTGATTGATAAATTTAACAATACTTACTGTTATTTTGATGATATTTTCTCATAATAATCAAGAATACTCTGAATATACTGCCGAAATTTACCACAGCTAACTTACTTTAAATAGATCCGATATTAACAGCAATAACTGAACTTTTCTAGAGTTAGATATATATATCAGTTTTACACGAGAAGTCTTAACAAAAATGTACGACCAAAGGGACGATTGTTTATTTTTTTGGAGGTGATGCTCCTCTGGCACCGTCTAACGGTGTTTTTGGTGTTGTACAAGTTATCATTTTGTACAAATTCTAATTTGTATTTTTACTTTGTGAAAATTGAAATTTTTACAAAAAGTGCTTGTACAAATTACAACGTGTACATATTTTGACTAAATTCACTTATGAATGATCTAGAAACAGAATTATCAGTAAACCCACACATGTTTTGGGAACTCTTAAAATGTATGATAAAAGGGAAAACAATATCATATGCCAGTTATATAAAAAAGAAATACACAAACACCGAAAATGATTTAGAACTTAAATTAGCTAAGTTACTTGAAAATTATGAAATAGATCCCTCAGAATTAATAAATACAGAAATTAAAATTTTAGAAGAAGAACTTGTTCAACACAGAGAGAAAATAGTAACAGGTATTATGGCAAGAGCAAAGGCAAGATGGGTAGCAGAAGGTGAAAAATATACTCACTATTTTTGTAATCTTGAAAAAAGGAATTATAATGAGAAAATAATTCCAAAATTAATTAAAGATAATGGAGAGGAAATTTTTAATCAAGGCGAAATTTTAGAAGAACAAAAATTATTTTATGAAAAATTGTTCTCCTCAACAAATCCTATTCTTCATCAAGAACATACAAATCTATTTTTTGATGAAAATAATCCGTTTATCCGCAAACTGTCTGATGAACAGAGGTTACAGGCAGAGGGTAATTTGAATGCTAATGAATGCTTAAAAACATTGAAAAATATGAAAAATGGTAAATCTCCAGGAATGGATAGATTTACAACTGAATTTTATGAATTCTCTTGGATAGACCTCCATGAATTTATTATAAAATCTTTTAATTATAGCTAAGAAACTCGAACTTTTTCTGTTAGTCAGAAACAAGGAGTTATAACATGCATTCCAAAAGAGGGTAAATCAAAATTTCAATTAAAAAACTGGAGACCTATCACTTTATTAAATGTTGATACAAAACTTGCATCAGCTGCTTTAGCAAATACAATAAAACCTTTTCTTGGGGATATAGTCAGTGAAACACAGCAAGGTTTCATAAAGGGAAGGTATATTGGAGAATGTACCAGGCTTATTTTTGACATTATGGAAAAGGCAAAAGATGATAATCTTCCAGGTCTTTTACTTTTATTAGATTTTGAGAAAGCTTTTGATACCCTTGAATGGTCATGTATAGACTTGGCTCTGTCTTTTTTAGGATTTGGTCCTATTTTTTGTAAATAGGTCAAGACCTTATATTTAGAATCTCAGAGCTGTATTATAAACAATGGACACTGTTCTCAAGTTTTTAATATTGGTGGGGGTGTTAGACAAGGTGATCCTTTATCTCCTTATCTCTTTTTTTATCTTTAGAACTTATGAGCGCTGCACTTAAAAATAGCCCGGAGATAAATGGTATGAAAATAAATGATTCAGAATATCTACTAAGCCATTATGCAGATGACTCATGTCTTTTATTAGACGAGAATGAGCAATCTTTAGAAAAATGTTTATATACTTTAGAAAATTCCCTGAGTGTGATGGACTAAGGGCTAATTTTGATAAAACTGAAGCCATATGGATTGGGTCAAAGTGTCACTCAAGGGATAAACTAACAATTACAAGAAATTTGAACTGGAATTATTCAGGAAAATTTAAACTTTTAGGAATAAAATATGATCTGTTCAGTGAAAGTAAAACACTTGTAAATTTTGTGGAAAAAATAAAAAAAATGAAGAGCTTACTTAATTCTTGGGTATATAGAGATTTAACGTATATGGGAAAGATAACTGTTATTAAATCATAGCTCTACCTATTCTAATTCAGTCATTGACAGTTTTGCCACCAGTTGATAAAATAAAAGAAATTCAAAACATTTTCTATAGTTTCTTGTGGTCAGGAAAACCAGATAAGATTAAAAGAAAAATTATGATAGGGTTATATGAAAAAGGGGGGTTGAAAATGCCAGATATGAGATCTTTTTGTTATTCACTAAAGATGACATTGATAAATAAACTTTTAGACCCCTTGAATATATCCCCATGGAAAACACTGTTAATAGATCAATACAACAGATTCGGAGCAGACAAAATATGGTTGATGACCTCTGATGGTATCCAAAAGATTTCTTCAAATTTTAATAATTTTTGGAAAGATATTTTACTAAACTGGAATATCCTAAACACTGTCACTAATGACACTGCTGAAGGGATCATGAAACAATCCATATGGCTAAACAAGAGTTTGACAATAAATAATAAAACTGTCTTTAACCAGAAGAAGACAAAATGTATAAAGAACTAAGCACTCATATAGAAAATTGAGATTTCATTTATAGTTTACCCTTTTGTTGCACTAAAAACAACAAATTTAGCATGTTCCAGTTTAAGATTTAACATAGAACTCTCGCTACAAATGCATTATTGTAGAAATATGGGTTAAAAGAAACTAACTTATGTAGTTTCTGTAATGAAACTAAAGAAACTATTAGTCACCTTTTCTGGAAATGTACCCAAGTTAGAAATTTGTGGTTAGAAATTGCAGCACTTTTTCAAGTTAAAAATAATCTGACTTTACTATTTAATGCGGAATATATTGTTCTTGGGTGAGAGTCTTGGGATGTTTCCCTAAACTTATTCACTATTCTGATTAAGTATTGTATTTATACATGTCGCTTTAACACTTCATTACCGACTCTTACAGGGGCGATATCTATGATTAAAAATTCCTACCAAATAGAAAAAAATATATACCTCCTTTTACAGATCCCCTAAAGCAAGAGAGAAATTTGATAGTAAATGGGAATTGATTAAAAACTTAGTTTACATGTGAGGAGAGATCTTTCTTTTTTGAACTCACTTTTGGCTTTATAATAATTCAAGTAGAATTAATAATATGTTGATGCGCATCACAACTGGTCAGTGATTTGTGTGCATCATAAAAGTGCTATCTATGATGTTTATTGATATTGTTATATATAAATTGAATCACTTGTTTTTGCTTGATTGTATTTGAATTATCTCCCCTTGACTTAGGTTGTCTTTTATTGTTGTTATTTATTTTGTGATTCTGTCCAACATGTCCTGTCTGACCCTTATCTGTTAATGATCTCTGGTGGCCTCTCCTGGTACCTCTCATGTTCAACATCATAGTATTGACAGTGATACATGTGGCAAGAGGAGAAGGCTGATGCCATCATCAACAATATCAACATATTCATGTACTCTAATCCAGAGTGATAAATGACGAGTATGATCTAATAGATAATTATCATATAGATAATAAAAAAATTGCATTTTTAACTTTTTAACTTTAGACTGTTATTGAAAAATTTAATATTAATAAATGTATTATAAATTATCTATGTATTCATGTATCACAATGCTTGGTGCTTTTTCAGATAAAATAAAAAATAAATTACAAAAAAAAAGGTTGCATATCAGTAAATATAGACAATGCAATTTTCCATAGGAACTCCCTTTACGGCTAGAACTGTGCCACTTTTACTATGAAGTTTCGTAAAAAATAATGTCCTAGAATGGAAAGTTGATTTGCACTACTTTTTTATTCAAATGGCAATACACAGGGCTGTGCGTCATATTTTCAACATTTATATACCCCGAGCTTCTTAGAATTTAAACTAAAATTCGGCACTACCCCTCACTTCACTTTAGATCTTTCTCAGAATTCAATTCCACCGCCTACCATGTGCATTTATACTGGTAACATTCCCGAGTTAGGATGAAACATAGGGATCATATCTGGAAACCAGTACGTAAACAAGACAAAATATCTATGAATTTTATATATCTCCCCAAAAGAGGCGTGGTTTGTGAAACAGCTGTATTTACAAAGTCCAACCTATAACGTGTACCTTAATTCAAATTGTGGATTTTGTTATAAAAAAGCATTGATACACACTATAGATTTTTAAATAAATGACCACACAAAAAACCTTATTTACCGAATACAAAAATATTTCTGCATCATTTGTTTGAGCGTGTGAGTGAATTATGGCATCGGGAATCACACAAACTCATTTGCTTTTTACATTTACATTTTACATATTGAGAAGTGCTTCCCCCCCTTTGTATCTACATGAAAGAAAACCCTGACCATCAGTTTTTGAAAGCTTTTTAACTTCACGTAGCAAAATTTTAAGCTCAGAAACCATTGCTGCGAATAAAGATGTGGCTTTAACAGCTTCAATTTGATTTCAGTTGAGGAACGATCATACTGAGGAATTTGTAAAATGACATTATCCCCTACAGCCAGCTCTGATAATTTCTGTTTCGTTTTCATGGTTAGATATTCGGCTTGGATCTGTTGGCCAGCAAGCGCACGGTTCTTGGCACGTATGATTGGTGATTCAACGTCAATATCATCCTAATTGTCACCCGAGCCAATTTCTATTATACTACCAGAATTGTCACTGGGGCCAATTTCTATTATAATATCAGAATTGTTACTGGGGTCAATTTCTATTATGCTATCAGAATTGCCACTGAGGCCAATTTTCATTAGACTATCAGAATTAACTGGTATTCATGTATCACTAACATTTAATATTATATAGATATTTTGTAGTGTATATCTATGCTTTTTTATAACAAAATACATACTATAAATTATTGTACAAGTTATAAGTGAATTTGAGTTGAATTGTGTTCAAATTGTAATTTGTACAGGCACTTGTTTACAAATTATAATTTGTACAAAGTCCAAATACAAATTATAATTTGTACAACTTTTTTGTACAAATTATAATTTGTACAAAATGATAACTTGTACACAACATTTATATATCACAACTCGTTCGCTATACTCGTGTCTGAATTGACGCTTTGAATTTGAATGAGTGTAATATATGTTTTACTAAAATTCTTTAGTCAAGTATTTCGATACCACGAATCTTTTAAAACCTGTTTCTATATTCTTCCATAGAGACAAGAATTTGGTTTCCAAGTTTGGCTGGTTTCGATATCATTAATTAAATCAATAGTTGATATTAATGTTATACACAAATGCATGGAATTACACTTTGTCGATGACTGTCAATGCACAATGTCATGGTTTCTATTAATGACGTTTTTACACTAAATCCATTGCGTGTTGGGTGTGTATTGATTGATATCATAGTCTTAGATACATGATTCTTTTTATTAGTTGTTATTGGTTTCAGCTTTCAGTATCTTCGAGTATTATCAAGTCTTTACTTGGTGCCTTTTTTGTTTTGGGATGTATAGATACGCTGCCACATCCGGTCTGTGTTTTCGTGTTTTTTTTTGTTTGTTTTTAGTTTGTATCTGATCTGATGAGGTGAACCCTTTTCAACTGATTTTCAAAATTTGTTCTAATGTTGTTCTGTTTGTCCCAGGTTAAGGGAAGGATTAAGCGCCAGTAAACTAGTTCAACCCCGCAACATTCGTAATGTGCCTGTCCGAAGTCATAAGCTTGTTGTTTAGTCGTTGTAATTGATTCATGTCTAATATTTGATTTTTGGAAATTGTTTTGTTATAAATTAGGCCGTTATAATTCTCAATTGGATTGTTTCATATGTTTTACATGTCAGAACCTTTTATAAAGTTAGGTTTTTATTCTCATTATTGAAGGCCGTATGGTTGTCTACAATTGCTAACATCCACTTCACTTGAACTTTGGTGGATATTTGTCTCATTGGCAATAATACATCATTTTCTTATTTCTATATTCTATGTTTGTAATGCCAGTCTGATTTACGAGCAAAAGGTCGGGCGGGATGACGTGGGTTCCCTTTTCATTTTATTTCATCTCATTACAATGTTAAAAGAAGATCGCAGAAACTTCAGTAAAACATGTGTAATATGTCGAAGAAGTGCATATGTTACTACTTACTTGTTTACAAATTTTGCAAAGACTATTTACAATAGTGAACCTATATACATGTAGTAATTATGTTCAGTGTGTTTAGCTCTTGTCTCTCTATTTTGGCATTTTTTTGGGAACAATATTCAAAAGATAAGTAACATTATATACCTTTACGGAGTTATTTTCTTACATAACGTAAGGTCTTTTTTTTGGAAGAATCAACCCGGACGATACCAAGTTCCAATACTTCAAGACATAAAATAATGTCCTGTGTAAGGTCATTATTTTCCCTGATTAAAATGCAAACTATAATTAACTTATTTAATAAACATTTAAGTCGTTTGATAGTAATCGTGTGATGTTACCAATAAGATTTTTACATTTTTACTTTTCCATCATTTCTGGCTCGACAAAAACAATAATTTCCACTGTTTATTAGATGGAAATACCAACAAATCGTCGTTGACGCACATTTTAACTCCCGAAACAAATAATGTGAAGTTTTGTTAATCAATCGCTAAAATAAAGAGACATTATATGAGATGAATTTAATAATTCAATATTTTTCATAATACTTTCAAAACAAGCCAGATTTAACACATTAACATTCGTGTGTAGGATTTTGAAAATCCTATTGATTCACGTTGTATTGGAAATCATTCTTCGACCTTGGATATTCATTTTTTGTGTTACTTGTACATGTATGTACATGTATCACAATTGCATATTTCCTTCGTGCCAGTTCATAACTTTTTACATTTATGTTTTTGTTTTACTCTATCAAATGATCAAATGACTAAATATTCTTATTTTCTTCAGAATAACAGCCGTGAACTTTAGGGTGGATGCATAATGCATACTCCAGGTTATCAGTTTAAAAAAATGTAATGCTAGACAAAAGAGTGGCAAAATTTATTCTGAATAGTTTATTTAAAGTTGTTAAAAGAATAATCTGCTTTTTCGCGATAAAATTGTCAACAACTTACAAAGTGACTTGTATTTTTCATACACCGTGACAAATCATTTGTGTCTTGCTTCATACTATAACAGTTATATTTTCATTGTAACTGGATAATGATTTCTAAAGTTTATATCTAAATCAATCAGTGATTTTATTACACATTGTAAATGAGCCGTAAGGCGTATATAAACCTGAACGTATCCGAAAAGAATATACAACTTTAGTGTTTTCGGTAAAATAGTATTAAAATCCTGCAAATCAGTGCAGAAAATAATGTATTTTGACGATATATAAGTCAGATAATGCAGATTTTAAGTTTTTTTTTGTCGTATAACACACCTCTGGCTGTCAGGATTGCCCTTTTCATGTGATTAATCCTGACACCCCTCGGTGTGCTATACGACAAAAAAACTCCGCAAAACTATGCATTATCTATAACATATTATCTAACCAAATCTTTGGGACTTCACAGGAAATAGTCAACACTATTGAGGTTGTCATCCTTGCATTTTTCATTTTCCAATTTTATTTTTAAATGTTAGTGAATACTATTATTTATTTATCATAACAAGTCGTTTGGTATTGTTTCTTCTGTGAATATTATATTCTGAAATTTGAGGCAGCACCGATGATCAGTCCGGTAATGTCTGACGATACAGCAACTGTAACAACCATTATTATCATTTACTTAATTCCAATAGTGGTTGTTGTTACCACCATTTTTACTCAAGGGCATAAACATTCTTATTAAACATTTAATAACGTATAGGTAAGAATACATCGTTTGGATGCAGATTGTTGAAATCAACTGATAGTAAAGGGGTTTTAAATTGGTACTTATTTATTGAAAAGTAATAATGTCATGAATATGTAATCAATTAGGTTCAGATATGGTATTCGTTTTAACGCCTCGGTGGTCTCGTAGCGTGTTCGCCTCGAGTGCGGGAGGTTGTGGGCCGGGTCACACCAAAGACTTAAAAACTGATATTTGCTGCTCCTCCGCTAGGCACGCGGCATTAAGGAGTAAGCGCAAAGACTGGTCGGCTCGGAGTCAGAATAATGTGTCCGGGTAAGGTAACTTGTCTTCCTGCGGACTGTTACCTTGTCAACTAGCACGTTAAAATCTGGCTCAGCGTGTTGGTCTAGTAAAAAGCAGGGTTAATAGTCATATTAAACTAACATGTTCTCGTTCTGAATATGTACATTATTTTGCTGCTGGACGTTAATCATCATCATCATCATCATCATCATCATCATCATTATCATCGTCATCGTCGTTATTCGTTTTATTGTCAATGCCGCATAATAAACATGACGGATTATCTCTGCGATATCATCGTAGGGTATTTACGTGATATAAACTAAATAGTAACGAATAAGAAAGAAAAAAACATCGATGTAATAAACATTCTTTGAAAAAGATAAAATGGTTTCAGGTGATTCAGTCTAAACGACAACATTTTCCCTTTAAGGAACATGTCTAAATATGATCTGAAGTCGACTTTCACCATTTATTCACAACTCTCTCACGTATGTTCTATCATGTGATTACAGCTGGCTGTACTATAGTACAAAGACATACAAAATAAGAAGATCAAGATTAAATGGTGCTGACAAACAGACCCTCAAAGAGTTGGTAGATGTAACTGGTTTGGGTATAGGTGTGTACACTCAATAGCTTATGTTAAAACAAAACCAGACACTATGGATATAAAATATGTGGTATTGATGATCAATAGCCTCCATGATGATAAAAGACTCTTGGAATTAGATTAAAGTGTTGACGATTTCATTTAATGTTTTTCTTGCATCCTTTTTAGAGGTTGCAGCGAGACGTTTTTCAATCTAATTTGCTATAATTCAATGACAAAAATATGTTTTATCCATAATTCGTAAGCCGTGAACAAGAAGTCAGTTCTTATGATATGATGTAGAAGTAGTGTTTTCGTTCTAAGTGGAAAGCTTATCAGAATCATATTTACAAATTAAGTAATATATAAAGGAAAAGCATGAACAGAACATACAACTATGTATTCTGAAAATGTAATGAAAGAAAAAAGTAACTGAATACGTTAACGTATTGGAATGTTCGTTCATACTTAGGAGAAACGTATCATAGATACGCTCAAATAAAAATAAAAATCTAAAAAGACCAGGTAAAGTACGGAGTCAAAGGGTATTTGAGACCTAAAGTTCTGAAAGGTTTGCTAAATCAACTAAAGTAGTATATTCAGAAAACCTCCAAACATGTCATTTCACGTTATTTCATTTCTTTTTAGACCGTGACATACACAGAAAAAGTAATTTTTCTATTTTTTGACTTGCCTAAGTGAAGTCTGTTAAATCCTTCTATCTGTTACAAAATGTTAAAAAAAAAAACATTTGCCGTATGGTGACCCATAGATGCTAACTTCTTATGTTTAAAATTATATTCAAAAGAAAAGACCTATGAATATGTCAATCAGTCGAAAATGGTGTAATGTTTGTGTAAAATACCCCATAACAATTGCTGTTTCCATAACATGTTTCAAAATTAGAAATTTAGAGAAATGACATTATTGCCAATAAGATAACAATCCATTGAGTTAAACAAAGAATAACGTGAACAATAACGGGTGAACTATTGACTATCAACCTTGTGGATACTAAGCAGTAAACTATAAAAGGGCCCCGCTTAAATAAATATGTGAGCAGTCAAAACAATAAAACATTAAGCAGACAGGTTCTTTTAATTCATATAACAATATTTTATTTTTTTTTAATAACAGCATGACCTTGGTCACGGTTGTTAACAGTAGCTTTTAACACCAATACTCAAACAAAGATGGTTGAACAAAAAGGTAAAACATGCTACACAGAGCAACAAGTGATCAGTATGCTGGAATTTCTCATTGACAACATATTTATTGAATTTGGAGGGATACTTTTTTCAACAAGTTGTCGGTATTCCTATGGGAACGAACAGTGCGCCTCTCCTTGCTGACCTCATCTCATTTTCATACGAGTTGCAGTTACTTCAGACACTTGTCAAAAACATGACAATCAAAGATGCCCGATCATTTAATTTCACATTTAGATATATTGATGATGTTTTTTCACTTAACAATCCAACTTTTCTGATTTGGAACCCATTAATATATCCCCCGGAACTTGAAATAAAACAAACAACAGACACGGCCTCCTCTACCTCAATTGTTAGACTTATACCTCGAATTTGACATAAGCGGTCATCTCAATAACAGAACCTATGACAAGCGAGTCGATTTTAAATTGAATTTATAAACTTACCCCACCATAGCAGCAACATACCAACTTCACCTGCAAATGGGATATACATTTCCCTAATCATTCGGTATTCAAGAGCTTGACGCTGCTGCTCAGACTTTACGTCATCAGTGTCTGAACAGAAAGGTGATGAACCAAGGTTATGTCAAAGAACGTCTCGTCCTCTTTCTAAAAAAATCATTGAAGGATACCAAGACCTTGTTGATAAATATTCTGTATTAACTTCACAAATAATATATGATAGTTTTGAAGTATAGATTTTAGGCACTGACGTTGTTTATCCTCTTAATTATATCATTGTACGTGTAAAGTTTCCTGTGTTTGTCCTTTTTTTTTGTAACCTTTATTGTTTAGTCAATTTTTATTATACACATATGGATCGGTACTCATGCATCCCGTCATTGTGTTGATGTGCTCTGGTCATTTTTTAATTATTGTCTTTCATTCTTGCTTATGTTCTTTGTCTATATGCCATTTTGTGATTCTTTGTTGAAACTGTTATTTGTTTAATTACATATAATGTAGTTATTAAGATTGTATTACAGTGTTGACTGCTGTATCCCAATTTATGACGTTTTTACCTATTATGTCCGTTTGTTTTGCACACACATTGTTGTTAATATAATGGAATTCAATGCGGCTGTCATATAAGTGAGCGGTTTCGCTAGCTATAAAACCAGTTTAATCCCCCATTTTCTATATAAGGAAATGCCTGTACCAAGTCAGAAACATGACAGTTGTTTTCCGGTCGTAAGTTGTGTTTAACTTTTTGTGCTTTTGATTTTGCAATTCTATAAAGGACTTTCTGTTTTGAAAATCTTATAGTTCGGTATTTTTGTTATTTTACTTTTTTAGTAAGAGCTGGTTTATATATAAAGAGTGTTTTAATCTACATTAAGGATTTCCATTGAATAACAATGCTATAATCATGATAATGATTATAATAATAATATTATTATTATTCATACAGCCATTCTTCACATAATAAGAATAAACTATTAGTAACCACGAAAGGCTCGTGGTTATTCCGAAAAAACTGACACACACCCTTCGACAAAAAAAATTACAAAACTTTTCAACCAACTTGTGTGTGTCGCGAGTGGTTAGAAATGACAACACATGATTTGAACAACTAGTGAAAACTGTATATACCTGCCAGACTTAATTTAAACTCTAAATTGTTGTTACAGGTCAGGCCTTGATAATGTTAATCAACAATTCCACTATTTGTATATTTATAACTAGTATTACTTGTATAATTATTTTGTTTTGCTAAGTATTCATTATCATTGATCAATGTAATGAATCGTGTGTCAATTGTGAGGCGATAATTGTGTTTATTTTATTTCAATATAGTCACGACATGAATGCCATGTGACACCATATTGAAATAAAACAACTACCAAAACTGATGGAGTAAACCTAAGAACACCATTTCTATTTCAGATAATAACAAAAAACGACTGTATTGGATGGAATATCAAAGAGGAGATTTGGAATCTTCTGATCTCAATGGAACAAATGCTATCAAAGTAGTCAGCACGAATAAAACCAGAACAAACATAGGCATTTATGTTTATGGTAGCAAAATATATTGCTCAAATGGTAAACAAATATTAAAAGTCACAGTATCACCAGTAACAATGGCAGATGTCGTACACACAGATACAGAGACAATTCATGGTGTACTTTTTTATGATGGTAAGAATATACTTATTGGAAGAAAAGGGTAAAGATAAATTTTCTGACATATTCGTATACTGTTTATATTTTTCAGTCAATCAAGATAAAATCTCATTAACGTTACCAATTTTTCTGCACAAGATGCGCATTTCCACAATACATGAGCTTCGTCGGATAGAAATCGACCTCATGCACATGATTATCAATACATCTATTAACTTATTTCGGGTTGAAAAAATCTCTTTGCAAAATCTGTAACTGTTTGAAAATAAGTCGATATAAGATTCCTACAAAATAGTCCAAAAAAGTATCTTTAATTTTGTATTTGAATGTTCCAAAATCATTCAAAGTATGATACATGTACATGAATACGTGCATTAGTCAATTTCTATCCGATGCAGATCACATGTCTCTTCAGTGAATATATGGCCGAAATATTTGAAAATCCAAAACTTAATGAAAAAAAAAAATGAAGAGCTTATAAACCAAAAAGAACATAAGGTAAAGCCAAAGCCGGGCAAGGAATCATAGCTTTGAATGAGAGGATTATCAGTCCCATAAACAAAATCGTTTTAAAACATGTGGGTATTTCTGAACGAATCAATTCATATATGATTGGCATTGTCTTTTAATTTGATTATATAAAATTCAATGTGTGTAAATAATGACTTGTTAAGAAGAATGAATAAGTATGTACAAATGTATGTTAGTCTGTAAATGAGAAAATTGCATGCATACACACAATGCATATTGCACAATAAGGATAAATTGTACACGTAATTTGATAAAAAAAAAATGTTTGCAATTAATGTTTGATTTATCGACCTAAATATATTATGCATATCATATATGTAATTTAAATAATTTCATCAGCAACTTGAAGGTATCATTAATTAACGATGTCTAACCTTTTTGTATGTGTCTTCGCCTCAATATTGTGATATAGTTATGTACGGTTTGTACGTGCATTCAGCTATATAATCAACGTTATCTCGTAGCTATTAATTCGTATTAAATTAACAAAATGTACAGGTTAACTAACACTATTATCTAGCTTAATGAATGCAATAACCGTTGTTTATGAATATGAGAGAGCAGTCTTTTATTGACGTTCCCATTTGGATATCAGCTATGAGTAATCAATCATAAAAAAACCCAGACAAAAAAATAGTACAAACGAATAAACTTATCCTACTTTGTAGTATTACAGAGGGATGCATATAGTTCGTTCTACCTCATAATCACGAGTTTTAAATTTTAGTTACTAATAATGTTTCAATCGATAAATATTTAAGTTTTATGTTTACACGTTTGTAATACATTTAGAAAAGAGGGGCAAACGATACCAGAGGGACATTAAAACTCAAAAATCGAAAATAAACTGACAACACCATGGCTAAAAAAGACAAATAACAAACACACAAATAATAGTACACAAAACACAACATAGAAAACTAATGACTAAGCAAAACGAACCCAACCAAAAACTAGGGGTGATCTTAGGTGACCCGGAAGGGTAAGCAGATCCTGCTCCATAATTGACACCCGTCGTGTTGCTCATGTTAGGACAAACCCGATAACTAGTCTAATTCGATAGGTCATAGAAATATCGTGATTGCCCCTCTTTCCATACAGATTTGAACTACATACATTTACACAACCTTATTTCATTCACTAAAACGACATAAGTGACATGTAACATTGTATATTATGATTAAGACGTTTTCTAAATACTTTATGACACGTTTACATCATGTCTATATTATACGATGTGTTATTGGTTTAGTTTGACTAATTTGATAATGTCATATTTGAAATAAACCTTGTACTCAATTTTGCTTTTTTTCGAATAATATTGTCATGAAAACAAAATATTCCTTCCAGGAACAAATGATTTTCAAATCAATGACCATTATCTCATGAATTAATTGATATTTGATTAAATATGTCTCCAAATTTGCACATGTTACTATGTTGAGTTTAATCATACATATGTTTAATATATTTAATTTCAACCTAACGAATTGATTCATGTTTTCCTTTTCATTTAAAGAAATGTTTAAAACGTCTATATATGAGGTATTTACAAACATAACCTTAATTAATCCCACTGACATCCAAAGGTGAGTAAGATTTTATGTGTTTTTCTTTTTCTTCCAAACTTATTATAGAAACGTGTAAAAAATGTTTATAGGTACATCAGCACAGGCAAATGATTATAATTTTCAATTGATTTTGAATAAAGAAATATTTTACATGTCACAATACACATATTTGAACTGAAAACACTATTATCCTCAGATTGTTTTTCGCGCGTATGCGTTGATATTGGCAAGTTTGGATCAACTGCATAACAGTTTGTTATCCGTAGACTAGACTCTACAAAGTACATCACATTACACAAAAACTCGTCTACAAAAAACAAAATATATCATAGAAGTAAAAAAAAAAAAAAAAAAAAAAAGGATATAGGGTATTTAACGATGACAAAAAATCAGTACATATAAGTTTTTTTGATATTATATGGATATACAAAAGTGTTTACATGAACCTACTGTTTTACCTGTATTTTTAAAAAAGACATTTAATTTTCAGTCGCAGATTTTGCTTAACACATCTGACTTACAGTTGAGAAAGATTATGCAGTATCTTGATTAACCATTCTTGTTCCTGTTGTATATATCCTACATTGTAAGTATGGTTATAATATATTTTAATGTTGTGTTCTTCAGATATAATTTCAAAGTACATGTTAAAACTAGTTGTTGTGAAGGTGAAAATAGTAACTTCCGCTTTTTAAAATCATTTTAGTGTCAGATGATGGCTTACCCGATGCGCATGATTCATATAAGTTACATTACCATTAAAAAAAACTATTTTACTATACGCTGATTTATCAGGTCTTTTGAATGTTTGATAGGATAACTGAATCTATGCATCTTTAAAATCACAATCAATGTGCCTGCTTGCCATTTTTGAAACAACTTGTTTTCTTATGTAAAAAATCCAACCCTTTCAAATATTAATTTCATCATTGAACACATTTATTGAAAAAGTCATGTGGAAAGTATCCCTTTACAATATAAATTCTCTATCTTAATTTACTACGTCGATGAAATGCCAAACAAACGTACACATGACATCAAATAACGTCACCTAAAACCGAACATTTTGTCAGAAAGATAACGATTGAAATTACGCGTAATATAAGCCAGGTATAGTTGATGAGTTTTTACCTTGCTTGCGGATGCTACAAACATATGTATAGTGAAGGTAAATGGAAAACATGAACTTATATATTTGTCCGATGTCATATAACTGATTAATTATATGGAAGGCTACACGGTGACTACATTTTGTTAACTTATATGCAATTTTGGCAGTGGTGGAGATTTGCTTTCCTGGAAATCATACAAAAACTTCATATTTTTATATATAGGAATTTTATATTAACTAAGAATAAACATGAAATAATTAGATACTTTTGGCCAAGTCAATTAAGTTTTCTTTGTCGTGCGTATTTGGTCTTTATGCGATATAATTATAAGTTTATAAATGCCTTTAGTTTCTTCTAGTCTTTTGTGTTCTTTAAACGTCTTCAACTACATAAACATGTTAAGTCAGTCTAGTAAACAACATGACCCTGCCAAATTTAATTTGTTTTAAATGTTGATGCAATCTTGTGTACAGAAAAGCACTTAACCATCCCGTATACATCCCGTCATTGTGTTATTCTGCTATGTTAAATTTTTGTATTCTTGTATTTCGTTTTTACTAATGTGCTTTGTCTATATGCCTTATTTTTTATGTTGACCTATTTGTTTGTTTTCATAGTGATTAAGATTATAACACAATTTGACTGCTGTACCCCTATTTTTGACATTTTTACCTATTATGTCTTTTTGTTTTCTTCACACATTAATGTCAATATAATGGCATGTTTTGCTACTGTTATACAAGTGAGAGGTTTAGCTAGCTATACAACCAGATTTAATCCATCATTTTCTACACTAGAAAATGAATGTACCGAGTCAGGAATATGACAGTTGTTATCATTCGTTTGATGTGTTTGAGCTTTTGAGTTGCCATTGCTTAGGGACTTTCCGTTTAGAATTTTCTTCGGAGTTCGGTATTTTGTTATTTTACTTTTTGCATAACAGAAAACATGTTGCAACAACACTTTCAAGGGTCTGTAGGTGACCTGTTGCAAGGGATATACTATTTCCCTATCCAATATACTCTAATTTTTGAATGGCAGTCTAAATTTCTCTGAACTTCGTCCCGAGTGGCTTCTATTATAAGACCTACCTATTGTTTTGATTGTGAATTTGTTCATGTCCTGAAAACGAATGAAATATTTGCCACTAGACATGAAGCAACCACCAATCAATCAATCCCTTATTTTCAAAATATTTTTTTCGCCTACAATTATGCTGTGTTATCCTGTTTAATTGTGATATCTTTAGAACACTCAAAGTTCTACAAATCAATATAACAATTTTTTGAAGGTATTTACCATTCATCTTATTGCGACAAACCATTATTTTTCATATTTATAAAAAACAAACAATTTTTCATCCATAACATAAAGGAACATTTTTTTAACTCCATGTTGATTACCCCGCCCTTCAGTTTCAATGGAATGAAACAATTTTCCTCACCCCTTCCTGAAACAAATGTATGTTTTCTGTAAAAAACAAATGGAATTTAAACAATTTATATAACCACCATCCCCCCGAAACCCCCCTCCCCCAAAAAAAAGTTTATAATTAAAAATGATATGAATTGGTCTGCGCCTAACTGATGTAAAAGTTTACAGTCCTATTCGTAAATTACATGTGCATATTGTTTACTGGTTGAACATTTTCCATAAAGAGGTAATTAAAACCGATGTACAGATGAGAACAAATTTAATGTAAAACCAGTGGTCATTACTTGAAACTAATTGTAAAACATGTACAGAATGTGACGTTTGGTGTGTATAGGATCTTAGTTGGTGTATTTTGAGTCCGAATCTTATATTTAGTTTAATCTCTATGTTAAAATCTAAATCACTTGTGACCTACAATTCTTGCCAAGTATTGTCATAATATTTGTCCTCCAACTAAACTAAAATTACATAGAATATATACTTTGATCATTCGTGAGTGTGAAATGTTTTGTCGTGAACTCATGTCAGTCTTCTACTCATTAAGTTGAATATATGATGATTATGTTATAGTTTTTTCTTCTGTATTCAGACAAACATATGATTAAAATTAGTTTCATGTTTTATTTTTAATCATTAAAAAATTTCAACAGCAGTATTTCTATACGTGTGTTGTTCGATCAGATTGTTCATAAATAAATATCAGAAATTGTATGATTATTATGATGATTGGCATTTAGTTGAAGCTTTATGTTCTTCCGATATTAGCAAATATAAGATATCAAAATCATCATTTGAAAAAACATACATTAAGGAAACAAAGGAAAAACTCTATCCTCATATTTATGTTTATGTTTTACAGATATGTCGGCAGTGAAAATAATTGGTCGTTATTACTCTTCCTGAACTTAAAAATGAAAAATGGTACGATAGAAGGACGTTGGAGTTTGTAATGGAACACACTGCATGTCGGATAGACCGCGACGGAGCCCAACTATGGAGTGATATCGTACATTAATTCTAACTTTCATCAAAAGAATGATTACGACGACTTTCATGAATTTTACTGAAACATTTAAAGGAATAAAAAAACGATAATGAGCATGCAAGAATTAGGACCACAGAACATCTCCAATACACACTAGTGACTCACAGTCGGACAATCGAGTGAATGTTACAAGGAATATGATGTTAATTATAAATATATAAAACATGGGACATTCGAATCGGTAAATTGTGATTACATATTAAAGCATTATCCATACTGCCGACGTATTCGGGACAATGGTATCAATAGACCAAGTGAAATATATGTCAACTTGTGTTGAAAATAGTTCTAAAATAAACTCGAACTGATTTAACTGGCAAATATGAATGATAATCAAAAGCAAAAAAACGTCTACCGTATTCAAATAAAAAAGGCGATTTGGTAGTTGAAGCAAAGATGTGAACGTAAGTAAATATGCATACACCAATCACGATGCATAAATGACAGACGTATCAATGAGTGGTTTAGTTAGATTCTTAAGAGCTTTCATTGAGGGATTTATAAAATGTTGGTGTTTGAGTGAATGTATTCTGAGATGCATTATACACATAAAATTATTTACACGGGTAAAAGCGGGAAGTTTAAATTGAGAATAGCTAATGCCCATGCTCCTTACAGTGGACAATACGTCAGAATGTGCATGCATTTAACAAAATGTGTATGATGCCGTGATGCAATTAAATTACACCATCCAAAATATATTGCAGCTTATATAATATATTTTGTTGCATCATTTATTGACAGGGGATTCATAAACGCAATACTTTGATTTCGGTAAATAAGTTCGCAAAACAGTCAATGCATACTGTTTTTTTTTTTGGCTTACATTTTCGATTTTTAATAAATTATTAGAGTTCACAAAGAGTCATGTGTTAAAACAATCACAAAACGTTGAAAGCTATTACGTAAACATATAAGCATTTAATGCAAAATATATTGATTGTCTTTTAGGCATAATAAATAAACAAATATCAATTATGAATTGAAAGGTGCATTATTATAGATACACGGTACCCTAAATAACATCGTCATTCATAGTAAGTAAGGAAACTCCCTTTAAATTCCGAGGAAGAGGTTGTCAAACTATCTACAACCGAATATACATTTCTGTTGTTGGAGCAAGATAGTACAGATTCTTGAAGATAATGAATATTATTTGCGACTGTTAGTTTCGATGCTTGATGATTTTTTTTGTTTCAAAAAGCCAGTACGAATTTTCAATTCTAAATACTGTCAAATCAAAATCCTACGAAATCTATCACAAAATAAAATCAATTCTTCATGTTGTTCTTTTAACCCGCTTTTTGATGGGGTTAGTGTTGTCTTTAGTTTACTATGTTGTGTTTTGTGTTCTGTTGTGTGTCTTTTTTTGTTTTTTTGGGTTTTTTTTGCCTAGTCTTTGTCAATTTATTTTCAACTTTTGAGTTTTTTTTCCCTTTGGTATCTTTTGCCTCTTTTCTCAAATCATATAAGGATTATTTACTCCTGAGCATTGAATATTACACACAATAACCGTATTTTTTATGATGCTGAGGGTATTACGAAGAAAAAGTCTCCACAATTCCCGCTTTACTTTAACTCTTCTTAAACTTAAGACGAAACCAACCCCATGTCCGAGTGCAACCCCATACTTTAAGGAAACTCGGACAGTCTTCAAAGACAAGTCTGTAGATTTAATTTATAAAGTTCTACAGACAGTTTCGGATGCATTATTTAATGGATTAAATAATTGTATTTCAGACACACGCAGACTGTGATTGAACAAGTTGAACTATATATTTTGTCTAATATCAGAACCTGGACATTTTACTTAGGGCAGCTATATAAAATGTAAAAATCAGATTGAAAAAGCTGGATCAAAAACAAGCAAAAAAGAACGAGAAAGTTACACACAAAGTCTAAGATACTAGTAGTTCTGAACGTTTAATTCATTATTTTAAATTGTATTCCATTGCACCATACTGAACCATTTGTTAATACAGCTGAAGAGGTCTGACCTTTCTTAATCATTTAGCAGTTATAAAAGCGGTTAGTGATACACTATAAAGTGTTAATGTTAAAACTATGAAGTTGATTGCAACATTTTGTCGTATTATGAATATATAATCAAGTTGCAAAACCTTTTCCTTCAGAATCAATCACATAACAAGTAACTCTGATTGTCTGTTCCTTCTCTTATATAGTGGAATAACTTTTATGTTCAAGTTAATTATCAATAAAAACTGGGAAAAGCAGCACACTGTTATAGAACACATACAGTTGATACATAACAAATTATCGGTGTTTACATGTTTCTCTTTTATCTAAAAAAAAAAAGGGTACGCGAGAATTAAGTGCAATTAATAAATTTTGAAAGGAAATTTTGCAGTATACTATGAGCTTAAATATATGTGTATCAGTCCGACATCGTTGCTTATGTTTCGTACTGTTAGTTCCCATGCTTATCAAAATAATAGCAATTGTTTTGAATTTCCACCAGAGATTGATCTGGATCTTTCATTCCTGTAATTTTCAAACAACGCTATACTTCTAAGACTTTCAAATGCTCATAAGGGTGTGAAATGAAAATTGTTGAAGTAGAGTTTCAATCATAACACCTTTGTATTCTAGTTTGTCTTGTTATAGCTTTGTAGAAAACCCTTATATCATTAATTTGCTTTACGTCAGTTCAACAACTCTCCCCAGTAGATTGTATCATCTTGCAAATTGGCGACGATGGCCATTTGTGTTCACAGTTTATTCGCTTATATAAACAAGAGGGCTATAACTGTTAGAGCATAATATGGTGCTACATTATAGACAATAGAGAATAATAGGGTACTGCATTATAAAGAATAGAGAGTAGTGGGATCTTACAATATAAAGAATTGAGAATAATGAGGTGCTACATATGTACACTATAGATACCAGAGAATACTGGGGTGCAACACATGTACACTATAGAGAATAATGGATTGCTACATTATAAGGAATAGAGGACAATATAATGGTTCACTACACAAAATAGAAAATAATAGAGTGGTATATTATTAAGAATAGAGAGTAATTGGATGCTACACTATAAATGATAGAGCATACTAACATACGATAAAGCTGCTAATAATATTATTATTGTTTGACGTAAATTTTACATTGAGGTTCTGAAAAAAGAAATCACCAATTCACCAACATTCCAACTGACTCCATTTTCAGAAAACGACATCTGTAACAAACATAAATTTTTAGCTACCGCTTTACAAGCAGAACCAAATACAATGAAAGTCCCAACTATGTATTGGCTTCCGAAGCTACACAAAACACCTTACAAATATAGATTCATTTCGTCTTCAAGCCATTGTTCCACTACTAAATTGTCTATTCTTCTTACCAGTACACTTGGTACAATCGAAAACCTGATAATAAATTGTTCAAATAAGGCCTTCGAAAATAGTGGAATTAATTACTTTTGGAGTGTCAAGAACTCGTTGGAAGTACTTGATAAATTGCATGCATATATTGGTGATTTTGAATCTGTTCAAAGTTTTGATTTTTCTACCCTATATATCACATTGCCTCACATTCTCATTAAGAAAAAATTCACACACCTAATTAAATGGGCATTTAAAAAGTCAGAATGTGAATATATATGTTCAAACTCTTTTAGGTCATTTTTTAGTAGCAATAAACAAAAAAACTATGTCAATTGGACATGCTTTGATACTATATATGCCCTTGAATTTTTACTAGATAACATTTTTGTTCGCTTTGGAGATTCCGTATATCGTCAGGTTATCGGAATTCCAATGGGGACTAACTGTGCACCACTTATTGCGGACCTTTTTTTGTATTGCTAGGAGTTACAATTTATGACAAAAATCAGTAAAGACCCATCGAAACAACATCTGATACACAAATTTAATAATACTTTTAGATATTTGGATGATATTTTGGCTCTCAATAATGACGACTTCAGTATGTTTACTAAAGAAATTTATCCTGTTGAACTTACTTTAAATAAAGCTAATACTAACAATGACCACTGCCCTTTCCTCTATCTTGATATCTATATCATTAACGGAAAGCTTAATACTAAAATATATGATAAAAGAGATGATTTTTCATTTCCTATCGTTAATTATCCATTTTTAGATGGTGACGTTCCCTTGTCACCATCTTACGGTGTTTATATATCTCAACTTGTACGATTCGCTCGTGTATGTAACAATGTTTTAGATTTTAACGAGAGAAATTTATGTATTACTGAAAAATTATTACACCAGGGTTTTCGATATCACAAACTAGTCAAAACATTTACTAAATTTTATCATCGGTATAAGGACATCATTCGTAAATATAGCTCAACATGCAGACTTCTTATACGTTCAGGTATTTCACATCCAATTTTTTATGGAAATATTTTTTATGGAAATATTCTTTATAAAGCACAAAAATGTCAGTATTCACCTCTGAAACTAACAAAAACTTTAAATAGACTTATTAAGAAGGGATATAGTTACGATACTGTTGTCAGGTCATTAAAGATTGCATATTTTGGCGTTAATATTGATTCACTTATAGGGTCTTTGCATCGGCACTAAACACATTTATTTGAAAACCAGTTGTTGGCATGACACGGGTTATGTTCTTCTCATATATGTTATGATGGTATGATACTAAACCCCTAACGGGAAGGATTGTGCCTGATATTCATATGATGAAGACATAATCTTTCAATCAGTTTAATTGAAGTCTGGAGCTGGCATGTCAGTTAACTGCTAGTAGTCTGTTGTTATTTATGTATTATTGTCATTTTGTTTATTTTCTTTGGTTACACCTTCTGACATCAGACTCGGACTTCTCTTGAACTGAATTTTAATGTGCGTATTGTTATGCGTTTACTTTTCTACATTGGCTAGAGGTATAGGGGGAGGGTTGAGATCTCATAAACATGTTTAACCCCGCCGCATTTTTGCGCCTGTCCCAAGTCAGGAGCCTCTAGCCTTTGTTAGTCTTGTATTATTTTTAATTTTAGTTTCTTGTGTACAATTTGGAGTTTAGTATGGCGTTCATCATCACTGAACTAGTATATATATTTGTTTAGGGGCCAGCTGAAGGACGCCTCCGGGTGCGGGAATTTCTCGCTGCATTGAAGACCTGTTGGTGGCCTTCTGCTGTTGTCTGTTCTGTGGTCGGGTTGTTGTCTCATTGACACATTCCCCATTTCCATTCTCAATTTTAAGGTGTTACATTATAGAGAATAGAGAATAATTGGTTGCTACATTATAAAAAATAGAGAACAATGGGGTTGTACACTTTAGAGAATAGAGAATAACTGGGTGCTACATTATAATGAATAGAGAACAATGGGGTTGTACACTATAGAGAATAGAGAATAATTGGTTGCTACTTTATAAAGAATAGAGAA